AGCGATCCTCCTGCCTTGGCCTCCTGGAGTGCTAGGATCACAGGTGTGAGCCACTGCGCACAGCTCCTGCTACTTATTTTTACTCACACCTTTACCTGCTACCTGAAATCCAGAGTCCTTCCATGCTAACCGCTTGCTCAGCACTTCCAGGAAGCCTTCTCTGTCTAGCTCGGCTCCTATTGATTCTGAGTCCTCTCAGAATCGCTATTGTGTTAAGTCTAGTACTATGTGTTTTAAGATGTAATTGTCCTCCAGTTGAAGTTTCCTGAGTCTGACTCCAGAGACTCATTGCAAAGTTGTGTTTTATTTCCCTTTATTGTATCCTCTACCCTGCACGACACCTGTGCCCATTCAGTACATGCTGAGTAAAGAGAGGCAGCCTGTGAGCCCCACGCCTGGGCTCTGACTGCAGTGACCTGGAGCTCTGCTCCACACAGATGAGCACTGTCTTGGGCATTGGCTCCAAAGGCTGCTGACCCCTGATCAGGAGCTTTTCGTGAGTGGAATCACACAGCAGCAGCGTATCGGGTTACATACCAGGCACTGAGCATCATTCCAAATTGTTGTGTGTACTAATTTTTTAATTGCTATCTCTTTTTAATTGAAGAAGCCAGGATGGTTGCCTATAGGTAGTCCTAAATTCAGGATTTTGCAGACTGCATCCCTGAGGTGTCACTTAACACCTAATCTTATGTCTCCTGTGTTTCCTGCACACTGGGAGGGAGTATCTACACCAGTCCTGGAGGGTTCATTAGATTTAGGTTTGATATTTTTGGTAAGAAAACTTGAAGGTGGTGAAAGAGTTCAGTTAAAATACAAACTTAGTTAAGAATGGCATTTATTAATTTATTATTCATTCAAATCATCTAAACATTTATAAAGTCCCATTAGGCCTTTAAATTATTTGTGAAGTAATCAGTGTTACCATAAAATACAATTCCAGTTAAAATCAGAGAATCTTGGTGTCATTCTAGCAGTAGTTAAATTAATGGAGGCGGAAAGTAGAATTACAGTTGCCACAGCCTGGGGGGGGCCATTGGGGGGGAAGATGACAGAGTTGTAGAGAAGCTGGGGGGCAACAGCTGCATAAGAATATGAATACGTAATGCCACAGAACTGTACACTTAAAAATGTTGAATTTTATGTTATATATATTTTACCATGATTAAAATAAAAGAGTTAAACTCAAGCACATCGCGTGGGTATATCAGTACTCACGAAGGAGCAATATCCAGATGGTTGATGCTAAATCCAGAAGAGCCAAAGCCTCCCAGGGTTGTTGATATGGTCAGGAACGCAACAGCCAAAGAATAATCACAGCCTATGAATCCCGCGGCTACTAAGAAGACTGCGGGTCCAATCATCCCTGGAGTTAAAAAGTAACAAGAGAGGGTGCACTTATAACTTTGACTCAAACTGTACGAAAGCAATTCATGTAACTAAAATGTTTGTACCCCAGTAATATTCTGGAAAAGAAAGTTTTAAAAGAAAAAGAAG